CGTGAAGGCAAAATATCAAGATTTCAGAACGGGCGACTCTACATTGATGGAAAACCGTGGGATAGCGGCGAGTGGATAGAAGACAACATTGGCTGATAGAGAAAATCTGTACAATTATGGGAAGAATCGGGGAGGGTAAACTCTTTGATTACGTCAGTTCAAAGGGATGGCTGTAGCGTTGAGTGCGTTGGTGATAGCAGACAGTAGTTTAGTCTTATGGGCTGGCACATTTGTTGGGTTGTAGGCTGTGAGGCATGAGGGGGGGGGGAGTCTGCTGGGCAATGGGTGTGAGTTTTTTCTCTTTAAATTTTTCTTTCTTTTTTCTTTCTTTCTTTCTTTTTCGTTATTTATTTTGTTTTTCAAATATTCGAGTCCAAAAGTGTGTATAAACACAACAGTCATACAGTAGTCAGGAAGCGTAAGCAAGTTTTTAATTGGCTGTCTAAATAGGGCAGTGATATCATAATGTTACGAGAAACCCATAGCACAGCACAGTGTGAAATTAAACGTGAGAGTCAATTTCAGGACAATTTAGTATTCCGCCATGATTCATCAACATCAAGGGGGGGGGGTGATGACAACTTCTAAAAGAGACAGTACACTGCTGGGAAACTATCTATAAATTAACATTCAAAATAACAATAAACACTAAATTGAGGGAATTTCATTAGGAAATGAACTAAAATTTAATAATGACAAATGTTAAATAAAATTTGCCCCAGATTTGCCTATCTAAAATGTGTACAATCTGTAAAAGGAAGCGGAGACTATTATGCACTTTATTATACGCTGTTCTCTTGTTCAGTTGTTTCGGGGAAAGTTTTCTGAGCGATGGGTGAAACAATTTTGTTGAGAGATCCACATGAGGCATAGTTGTTTATTTATTTTATTATTAATAGCTAAGCGTTTTATTTATATCTGCAAATGTATTGGAAACTTTCCATGTTTCCAACATCTTAAACCCTTTGTTCAAAAGTTGTTGTTGCCAACAAAAATGGGAAATTAAGTGCACGTATTAAGAAATGAGGCAAATTCCTAATTAATATTGACTCAGGCTGGGTAAAGGTGTGTCATATGATTGTTAAGTAAAACTGAAATGTATGTTTTAAGAGATTTTACTCAGGCAATGAAAAATATCTTTAAATAACAAAATAAAGATAGACACATCATTCGGATGTAGAAAATTAAGAATGTTTTCTGAAAACAAAAACACAAAAAAACCACAAAAAAAACAAAAACATGACGGGTTTGAAATATTACCCAGTAAAGTTGTGCGTTGTATGCTCGGATGTCACGCCACGTATGATTTCTTTCAACACCTATTACTAATTTATGCGAGACGTTTAGCAGTCGGGTCAGTTCTGAATGTGAAATAACCCAACACTGTGACGTAGCGAAGATTAACTCGAACGAATTCCGTTTACGTCAGAGCCTAAGCCCCAGACCGGACATTAGTAAGAATACATATGTACGCTAAAATAATAGTATTATGACTCTATGTATGAAATATAAATATTTGCTTTAAGGGCGATTCCCGTTAAATGTTTTGTGAAAATATAAAACTATATTAGATCTGCAGTGGCATCGTAAATTACATATTTCATTCTGACGCGGTATAAAAATAATGCCGACCGTTAGAACCGAGTTACTTAATCAACAAAGCACGTACGTTCACTCAACTGGGTCAGTAAAAGCACACTATGTATATCATAGAGCTAGCCAAGCTATAACACGCTTTACAGAGTTGGGCCAGGGACATCGAGTATTAATTTGTATGAAAATCTTGTTTGCGCTTGGTCTGTTTGATTGGTGTCGCTAAAGTTAGCTTGATTTTTTAATATTTGCAGTTATTCACAAGAGGGAAACATTGTTTTTGGAAACAAAGTTTGGTTCGTTTTAACATTCCAGTTCCCCAACACACATTCCCTAATTGTTGAATTCACACTTTTGTCTTGACTGACGCATCGTCCGAATCGCACGGTTTGTTAGTGCCGACTCATTACCGACTCCACCAAAAATATGTTAAACAAATGACCAAGTTTGATTGTTTGTGCCTGTTGGATAGGCGGCTAATCAGAACAAAATGTCTTCAATGGCGACGTGTAGCACGGTTACTTCAAAATTCTTCTAGTAACCGTGCGTGTAGAGTGTGTTTAGGTTGTTTGCCAAACCCCAAAAAATCTGTTCTACTTGGGTCGCCATTAAAAAAAACCCGCTCTATTTTGATACAAGATAGCTGATTGGCTGTTTATTTTTGTCGAATCTCCCCTCCTTGTTGTTAAGGGCGCCTAGTAAATACACATGTGTGCCAAGGGTTAGCTTGGAGGGGTGACCCCCAAACAAACGTTCCTTGGCTGGCGAAGATGTGACTGGCGTTAAGTGTGTAACATGGTAGAACTATTCCACGTCCGTCGGGGTAAATTGAATACAACTTGACCAAACTCGTAAAAGAATCCGGATACTGTGGGAAAATTGTATATACTGTTCCCGAATCTGTATACTAGTAAATCATTGACCAATCGCTGAACACGAATATTGTGAGGAGTGTACACCTCCGTATTCCGAAACTTACGATTCACGCACAAGGAGCAATTTTGTTGGTTAAAATGCGTGAGATGAATATTACTTCTAGTAATAAAAATATTAATTGCTGGATTACCGGTTCCTATAAATTATCAAATCTCTTGGCACGATGTGTGGGTGGTGGACGACTGTAACACCGCCACATTAAGCGGATTTTGCAATATCACCCCTCTGTGCGTCGTAAATTTAAAATACCATTCAAATATCCCTGGATACCGAGCACAATTACTTTGAAATATTATTTTCTTGCCATAGGAAACAATGTTAAAATGCTCTAAAACAGACAAATCATGCTCGTTTCGCCACATATGGAACATTATTTTTTTTTAAAGTTGTACGGTTGATTCCCGAAGGATATTTTGTGATGCGTGTCGTGAGCTTCTAAAAGTGTTATGGTGGTAGTCAGTTGAACCTATATTTGCGATTTGACATTGAAAACGGAAAGTATATGAATAACAAAATTCTCTGCGCAATCGTTCTAACGTCAACATCCGCGGTACCGCACAATGTTTTGGATTTATAAAGACAGAACTCTGCATTAAAAAGAAGGCTTAGCATAAATTTTTATCAGCGCGTGGTTTCTTCTAAAAGTATCCATTCTATCCACAGATTTACTGACATCGCGACCTACTCAGTGTTCACGCACTTGCGATCACGATCAATTGGAGATTAGTCAGCCGTCTTACAAGAATAATAATGTCAATGACATTTGGCTTAATTACACGACCATACTGGTTTGCATAGAAGACTGTCCAATTATACGTGCCGTGTTATTATTTGGTGTGCAGGGCCTTCTTAATTGGTGATTGTAGTACATCCCATTAATGTTGGAAATAAGACAATAACACAATTTGGAAATTAATTAGTAAAAGAATAATTAAAAAATGATAAGACACGGCGCTATTCATAAAAAAAAACTTCAAGTGAGGTCTGTGGTCTGTTGAGTCCATTTCTTATTGTTGAAGGATCCCTTTGAAATCTCACAACGCCGCATTTGTCGATAAATTTGGATTGTGGTAACAAATAGTAACACTGTTAATTCAGGTTGTTTTTCCTCGGCCATTAATATAGAAATGACAAGAAATTCTCACATGTTCCAATATATTCCTGTCCTTGTTGCTGCATCACAACTTATTTACTAGTCTCCATCGCAGAGACGTATACTCTGCTCAATTTATGAAATACTCTTTGTTTTCAGTTTGTTTTTGTTTAGGTCGAGGGATCTGACTTTTCATTTGAACTCAAACGAAAATCGCGACAAATTTGAGAATTGAATACCCTGTATAATATTTACCCTATTCTAAAAATAAGAATTTTTTGTGCAAGTTTCACGCAATATTAGAACCAATTTACCCATATCAATCAACCAGTATTCCTGGTTTGTGTGCACGTCGAAAACCAAACTAACTCCGCGATAAAGAACAAGTGCATTTTATTAGAAAAAACACACCACGCGCACATACACCATAAATGTCGGCGATATATCGAAGGTATGTCTCTATCGTAAGAAGGATATTTATAGCTGTGATTTTCGATCCATCATAAGTCATCTACGGTGTCAGCCTGACAACTTACAGTCTAAAAATAGAATCACCTGCATTAAGTGGATACGTGGTGACCAGTTGTACAATCAGCAACGTACGTGAATGAAAAAAATAAGGCATCCAACTTTGCCTAAACTACTACTTTTAGTTGCGGCTTGGTTCTTTAAGACGATGACGAAGCACCACAATACATCACATTTCAGGAAGCTTAATTCAGTAAAAATGTATCTTTTAAGAACTCAAACTGAACTCAATGCAAATTATTTTTCCAAAACTTTACATTGCATTCTGAGGAATACTTTTTAAAAGCATCCTCAGTCTTTTCGTCGTGGTATTTACAAGTTTGAGGCACCTGGGAGCCAATCTGTGCAGGCGGAAGGTAGCGAAATATCACAGATTGTATGTTTATGTGGACTGCGTAGGGGAAATGAAAGGAAACCTCACTTGGTTAGGAGATTATACAAATCGTGATTCAGTTAATATCATAGGTGCAATACGGGCTTCCGAAACTCGTTAATTTATTGTAGAATTATACATATGACCTTTTCGTTGCGGCTGTATATGACGACAGCACCTCGTGGGTTGTGACGGCATCGACGAAATTTACACCAATTGAATAATAGGTAGACTAATCAAAGAATAATTCGGTCCTATTTCCGATTTCGTGCGTGCATGTCTCGTCAGCCAATCAAATTAGCGGCGTCGTTTTACGTATACGCACCCGGGTCACTGGAGTGTAAGGAACGAAGTGTACAAAAACCGCATAAATGAGGATGAGAGAGTTACATCTCGTCTAGCACTAGACAGCAGCGAATCAGAACTCAACAACTCCAAGAACAGCTCCGAAGTTAAGAAGTATAACACTGACAAATTATGGAGACGCAAACTGTCGACCGAAGTCTATGGGCTCAGATCAACGGCTACCTCTCAACGCAGTTTATTGTAACAGGCTGCGATTTGCAGATTTTCGACAAACTTGAATCCGACGGGCCGTTGACTGCGACTCAGGTAGCAAGAGAATTAGAACTTCACCCTGCTACTACCGAAAGCCTACTCAATGCACTGGTCGGTCTCAGCTTGCTTTACAAGAAATACAAAGGCGATGACAACGACAACGAAGCTGAGTTCGGCAATACGTCTCAGGCCAGCGACTATCTCATAGCTTCGGCTCCACTGTCCGTTAGAGCTTGCGTGATGTCCATCAAAGAATTCAACTATAAGTTGACTGGCAACATGTCATTTCTCGTCAAGGAAGGCACACCACAAGTGAAGCGCACTTTTGGGTTCCCTGCGCCGCTATACGATATGATAGCTTGCGGTGATCCCAAACTCACTATACCTTTTATGGCCGGAATACATGGTCTTGCAAATATTTCGCAACGTGGAGGGGCTCTCAACTCGTTCGACCTCAGCAACTACCGAACCGTTTGCGATCTGGGCGGAGGCACCGGTGCAGTGGCGTACGCGCTAGCAGCTCGCTATCCTAACATGGAAATCACAGTCTTCGACTTACCGGCCGTAGTGGCTTGCGCCGACAACTTTCCTCCAACCGTCGATCCTAAATCCACCAACGTCGTTTTCCAAGCGGGTAACTTCTTTAAGGACACGCTTCCAGAGTGCGATCTTTTTCTTCTTTCCAACATCATTCACAACTGGTCGGAAGAACGCATCAGCGAAATCCTCACCCGAGTACACGAACGTCTGATGCCTGGCGGCGCTATCATGATCGTTGAATCACTCTATGACGACGACAAAAAAGGGCCACTCAACACCCATATCAACAACTTTATGATGATGCTTGCATTTGAAGGCGGTTGCCAACGATCGGGTAAGGAAATGAGAGAAATCCTAGAGAAACACGGATTCGTTGACGTTGAAATTAAGAAAACCGGGGGTTTGGCTGATTCCATGTTCTCCGTCAGGGCCAGTCGTGGAAACAACATTGTTATTGAATCATAAAGCACGAACGACAGACATTTCAGAACTGAAACAAATCTGAATATTATTCAATATGACGAAAATGCCACTATTAGAATTATTCGCAAATACATTGTCATTGTAGATTTAACTTTTCATCGATTTTATTGAATTTTTGACATTTTCCAAGACATCTATATCTGAGTACTTGAAAATGAAAGTGTTGGCGTATTAACAGAAAACATTGTTGGAGAGATGATGACTGAGACAAGGTCTTACCACATAACGTATTTTTTTCAATATCTCTATTAGTATACACATTTACTGTTAACATGAAAATATAAGTTTACTTGTTAATTTCAGCCAGTATTGAATGTTGAATTGTCATTGCACTACAATAGCAGGTGAAAAAAAATCTATCAAATTTTAAGAAATATATTGAATATAGATATTTACACAAATTTATTAGACGAGTTACATATATATATATATATATTAGTATGTTTAAAAACTGTACATTGTTAACTCGCTAGCTGATCAGTATCGTTTTAGCTTTTTTCATCAAAATATTCGAATTGTCGAAAGATTTTAGAAAATAGTTTAGTCTAGAATGTGGCAATGACAGCAATAGTTTTATGGACTTCAATGTTACAGATAATGTAAATATGCTAATGAGTTATAATTTTGTCAGTTCATATTATTGGTCAATCTGTAATAAATTGTTTATGCAAACTACAATTCTCATTGTTATGTAAATCTGTGTGGCAATGAATGCGCATGCGTACTGTCATTTAGACATTCAAGCCCAGATTCTTACTCGATGATATACGTTTTCTGTGTGCTTCAAAAATCTTCTGGTAAACTACGACGGCGAGGACTGTTGTGCTTATGGAAAATGTAGTCAGTCCTGTCTATTATTCGCAAAACAAATTCTAATTTTGCTTTCAAAACGACTGGAACTTGTCGAATAATTTAACTTAAAAAGTTATACAGTAGTCGGTTACGAAGCCTCATAAATGGTCACCGGAATGCCTCCAAACTGCATGATTGATGTGAAAAATCTATTGTACCCTCTTTTTATGCCACGCATAAATATTTATTATGAATGTGTTGTATTCCAAAAGGTGAAAGCAATGCTAACCCGCTCCTCGTGCCACCAAGTCCCTGACATCTTAACAAGCGGCATCTGTCACGTACTTCATTCATATATTCGATTCTGAGCATGCGCAGTAGTGGACAAAGTATAAAGAGTCTGAGTACATTATTTTGCATTTGTGCTGAAATGACGGAGAGTGTCCTGGGATGGCTGGGTTTGGGGCCCAGTGACCCAACCGATTAACACTGGCGTTGCAACATTCTTACTAACCATATACTGAGGCGCTTATCCATGCAGTGGACAACATGGGAAGCAGAACAATGAACGACAGCCCACGTGTTTACGAGCTGACAGAGGGGTTATGACAGACAAACCGAGATTTGTATACAAGTTATCTCTGATCATTGCGTATACGCAAATGGTTCTGGGTAGATGAAGTGTAGAGATGCGACTATGGCATTCTCTCTTTAGCTAGTTTTCAAATGTACAGTAGAACGGGGTTGTTGGTAATAAAATGATACGGCAACTCCGGAGATACAACCAAGCGATAGATGATCATCAGGGACGGATGCAGGATGTTCGGTGGAGGAGAGATATCTATGAAATGACGTCTTGCAGCATTACATATATCACAGTCCGTCTATCCGACTGTGAATATATATATGTGTGTAAGACAAATGGTGGTTTTAAGTGGGTGCCCCAAAGTCCCCCTCTAAATCTAACTGAATCATTATATATCAAACACAACAGATGATTCCAACTTCCATCGACCTCATCCAAATTCTCTTGCCCTCTGATGACGTGTATTGTCAGGGGAAGGCAACAAGTTGTTTTGAGCAGCAATGTTGACAATTAATTGGTAAATGATTAAGATTGTTCTTATTTTGGTTTTCTATTCGACAGTTCAACAAAAACCATATACTAGTCACACGCAGTTGTTGTGCCGTGATGCATGAGATACGCTGAACATTTACGATATTGAATTTCCTAATACTTGTCGGAAAGTCCCGTGATTGATGTGTGCTATTTACGATACTAGATGTAGAATATCGCCACGTATCATTTTTTCAATCAACAAAAACTATTTGCTTTTACTTTAAAAATAGTTAAACCCCATGCTCATTCATGAATTTCATATTACGTTTCAACGTCGATATAATCAGTTCAACGAGGGTAGCGGCAGATTTGACTGCCATCGGATAAAATGACACCCGAGACTAAAACCGTTGAAAATTCTGTTAATAACATCTGATTCTTAATGACTTATATCATCATAGCAACGCGGAATTTGACAACTAAGTTCAAAGTACAACTTTCATCACTTTATCCAAACGAATGGTGTTTATTTTACAGTACTAGTACTAGTACTCTCGAAACCCTTCTTCTTCTACTGGTGAGATAATTCAAAGTTTCAGCACGTTCTCCAGACTTGCATAAAGTTATTTTTTTGTGTGTTTTTTAATAAAATAAAATATGGGAGTGTATAAATGACGAAAGTCGGGTTTATTTCGCGGTAACCGGTTTTCGCCATTTACACACTTTCATGATATTTTATATTATTGAAAAGACACCAAAAAATAAACTAGAGACTGTATGCAAATTTACACTTTCTCGTAGCCGGCCCCATATCACTTGAACACCAAATACTGTCACTGTAACTACAATTCAAACCCCAGGGTCTGGAAACGCTTACAGTTTCATTTTTAAAATAATCTGATTCGGGTTGTAACACTATTCGGTGTTTTCTTTAAAAATTCTACATCGCCCAGATTACGTTACAGGTAAACCTTTGAAGAATAACTCCAAAGTGACTAAGTGGACAAATATCAACGATTTCCTATTTTTCAATTATGTAAAAAAAACAAATCTCATACTGGGGTGGACCCAGCGTATCGTATTTAAAATTTCAAATTACTCGCCTCGTCTCGAGTGTTTGGCATGTTCAACATTAGTTTTATCATCATGAAAAAGTTACATTCCATTACTTGTTTTTTCATTTAAAAAAAGAATTGAAATTTTTATTAGGAATCACTGAAATTGATCGCTGCCGGCCTGAAGTTGTATTTAATTGTCTATATGTTGTGTTATACTGCGCATACGCAGTAGTATGTACTCGTCTGGTTTTCTGTGTATTTTGGCAAATGGCACTACTGTAATAAAAAGAGTGAATGGAGACTGTCGTGACCCGAATAACGAATCGAAATCCGCCATATTGTATTTTTTCACCACTTTTGTATACGGTGATCTGATGTTCGTTATAATCATCGTATTGAGTATACACACATCGATTTTAAATACGTATTCCAGCTTCCGAGAATACGAATTTGATTTTCCCACGTTGTAACGACGCCGTCAAGTTGAGAATCCAACCCGTCGCCCGGCCCGTTGCCATGCCCGGCGTACGAGTTCGCACGAGTCTCATGAGCACACGTCCAAGCATACCGTTCTGAAAACGGCGGCGAAAGTTCACATGGTGCCAAAAAGATATAAATTTGGAAACAATATGTTTGTTTTTGCATAAATTTGTTAAATTTCGTTGTGGGTTTATTCGGTATATCGATGGATCTCATATTTCAATCTATATACACTGGTGTTACATCCCAGTGTTACATGCGTTTGATATACGTCGAATTTGCATGAAATAGTCACGCGATCGATGCTGATTAACAAAATCAAATTAATCTAAACGAGAATGTATTTCGTAGCGGTGACATTATTTTGACTGCCCCGGCAGCCATCTTTTAAAATTGTCATTACTTAACGTCACTATAATACTGTTATTCTGAAGTAACTCAGTGAGTCTGATAAAAAGAAAAAAATCTACCTTTTAATTAGAGCAATGAACTACTAGATATTTCACATCAAATTAAAATAATTTAATACGAGAATGATTCTAGAAACTTACTACATGTGAAAGTTCACTCCTGTGTATGCACGTGATGGTAAGGTGAAGCAGCACATTTTCGCCAGAAATCACAGCACCGATGGTTAGGGAACAGGTCTGTGCGGCCACAGTCAATAGAGTGACTGTGGTGCGGCGTTCATTCAATAACAGATCGATCGATGCTTTCACTGATATCAATGATGATTCCAGTACTGTTTACGATGTAGCTCCCAAACTGTTCCTGTCGCATTCCGAATTTGGGTAAAACTATACTGGCATTGTAATCACAATAGCACAGTTCCATAGTTCATGCCGACAGTAAGGCCAGACTTTTTTATTCCTTGTTTCTCGGGTTTTTATAAAACAATTTTTTTGGAGGAGGGCGGAACAAAAATAAAATTAATTCTTTTTTTTTCCATTAGATTTGTGTGATTCTCAAAGAATTGTAATTGAGATTATTGATCGGAGAGAAGAAATGAAATAAAATTGTATTCCATGTATAACCTGCGCGAGACTTCGGTACTTTGATCATGATACTCCCACAAAATTTCAACTTCAAGTTGGGTTTGTTATGCGGCGGGCGGTAAAAAAATGAAGATAAAGATAATTTTGTTATCAATTTTTTGCACTTACAAGACGGCGGGCGCGAGAAATTACGCTGAAATAAAATTCGGCGGGTTCGCTAAACATGGGATAATAAAAGTCTGGCCTAATACAAGAGTACACTAAACCTCCAACGAACCCATAGTGTACTTTAAACACAAAAGCCTGTATTTCTCATTCTGGCTGTAAATATATTGTGATTGGCTTGAGGTCACACGAGTTGAGCACATGTCTACAAACACAGCTATAAATTTCAATGTCAATTATGGCGTGGTTGAAAGCAAAGGTCAGTTTGAAAAAAAACAAAAACATATATAGGGTGACATAGTACAAATTTGTACTTCTGGGGATGCAATAAAGTTATTATTGTTATTATAGGATTATCACAACGTGATTTCACGCTAACGTTATCGTCTGTTATATTATCGTATCAAATATTATGACACCACACCACACCACATCACACCATAGTGATGTTCTCATTGGACGTAATACGCCGTTGTCACAACGCCTTTTATTTGAGAACGTTGTTAAAATGTGTATGTAAACAGAATATGCCGTTTTGGCGTCGGCGTTTCTGACACCGTCGTAAAAGAGATGGACCAGATCCTAAACGCCGTTGTCACACCGGCTCTTGCACAACGCAATGTGCCGTGTGACACATATATTTGTGGGTCACAAAAAAAGGCTTTCCACCGCGGTTGAATAAAATTCATTGACTTAGGGGGCAGTTCCAATGAACGCCGGGAACTGGCTAATCCAGTCTAACTTCAGGGGTTTCCTACTGAGATTGTCCGCAGATGGCGCTATCTTTTTTCTGATAGTTTTTTTTTTTACACGTGTCCGACCAATCTCAAAACATATAAAACATGACCAAAAAGAGCAAGAAACGTGATTTTAAACGATACAAGAGAGTTAGTACGACTGTAAGTATGTGTCTTTTTTGAGTGATACACATTTTTAATTCATGTTTTTTTTTTATTACAATCATATAGTCCCGGTGTGTCAGTGCCATCGTTGAGTCAAGGCTGTAATCTGCCATCTGGCTTTTGTCATGTCATGATCGTGGCATGTCAATTCTTCGTTATTGTCAAAGTGTTGACTGTCACACGTTATGTTCTTTAATTATTGATCTTAAAGGGCTTGGATGGTGGTTGAAAAAGTGTAATCTGTTCTGGAAGTAAATTGAAACCCGGTGAGGGGGGGCAGTTGATACAGACAGAGCTGGATAGGAGGTAGCTGTGTACAGGTCTGTGATTGTGGAGGCGCTCCTATTCATCGGGACTTTATCTGCGCCCCAATACCCAGCCCTGTGAACGACCATAGGCATTTTCAAAAACACTACACATGTCATACAAAATGTCTCATTTCGGGACGAATTCGTACCTCTTTGCACCAAAAGCAGCGTCGATCACCTTAACATACTGTAATGAACACTCGGTTGTTGAATTGATGTACTGTAGGGGAGTTTTGGATGTTAAAACAGACTATTTATTGCCCAAAATGCGTATACGTGGTACTTAAGTATATAAACAGAGACGCCATTTTGGTCACGCGAGATTGGTCACGTGATAAAACTTTTTACTATGACGTCAGAGCTGAATGACGAAAACGTGTTTTCTATGAGGAAAATCAATATAAAACTTGTTTTACAAATAATTGTTGTGGTTTTTGACTAAAATGTTTAAATTTTCAGTTATTTTCAAGAAAAATACTTTAATTTTAAAAAGTAATATATTATTTTGTTATCCATCATGCTTGGCAGAAAAGTATACTAAATGTGTCTCAATGTGTCTCAAATATATGAGGCTCACATTAAAACTGAATATAATTTTCCTTACTCTTTGAAGAGAGAGCAAGTGGGAAT